GCCGCCGAAGCATCCACGTGCTGCGGTGGGTCGCGGTGGCTCAGAGGTTTTCCCATGTCATTCGAGATCTGACAATAACCATGCCCAGCTCCAGGGTCGAATGCGGTAGCTCGTCACACGCGGACTACAGCCCCGTGCACCACCGCCGACTCCAGGAACGCGCAAGCCTACGCCGACGACCCCAGGAGGACGAACTGCAAGGAGGTCGCGCATGACGAGCCGAAGAAGTGGCCGAACCCAGACGCCGAGGCCTTCAGCTTCAGCGGCGAGCATCACTTCGAGAACCGCAACTGCGGCCACCCTTTATGGCCAGTACTTCTGGGGAAAACTGTCGGTCGAGCAAGGCGTCTGCGATGACGTGCTGTTGGGCTGCGCCGCCTTCCCTACCTTAAACCTAGACGCGGATTTCCCGATGTTCTAAGGCGACGACCATGCCGAGGAGGCCCCCGAGGAAGAAGGGAATCCGCCGACCCCTCGGCGTATGTGAAACGCTTTTCCGTTCGAGTCGTCGTCGTCGCCGTCGCCGTCGCCGTCGTCGTCGTCGTTGTCGTCGTCGCCGTTGCCGTCCGCCCCAACGAAAGTAAGGAACTAATCAGAAAGGCGGGGGAAGCGCGCCTGATGGCGCCCCTACGAGGAGTACAATGCCCAGCAAGGCAGTGGGGTGGAGAGGAGGCGGAGGTGAGAAGGGTCCACCAACTCCGACCTCTCCATCCCGAGCGCAGTTTTCTTCGCGCCGCAGGCCCCCGTGCCTGCCGGCAGGCGCGCGCCAGCGGAGGCTGGCTCTGGGCTCGCCGTCAGGAGCGAGCCCACGAGCCTGGGCGCGGGAAGAGCAGCTGGCCCCGCCGGCGGACACGGCTGCTCGAGGGCAGGCCGCCCGCCGATGCCGCGGGGAGGATCGCTCTGCTTCGGCAACGCCGCGCACGGCGCGCGAGCTCCCCCCTCCCCTTCGCCCCCTCTCAGACGAGTCCCCTGCTCCGCCGCTCCAGAGGCCAGGAGGGAAGAGGCTCCCCTCCCCCTCCCCCCCCCCCCTCCTCCTCCCCCTCCTCCTCCTCCTCCTCCTCCTCCTCCTCCTCCTCCTCCTCCTCCTCCTCCCCTCCTCCTCCTCCTCCTCCTCCTCCTCCTCCTCCTCCTCCTCCTCCTCCTCCTCCTCCTCCTCCTCCTCCTCCTCCTCCTCCTCCTCCTCCTCCTCCTCCTCCTCCTCCTCCTCCTCCTCCTCCTCCTCCTCCTCCTCCTCCTCCCTCCTCCTCCTCCTCCTCCTCCTCCTCCCCCTGGAGAGAAGGGGCGGGGGGGGGGGGGGCGGCGACGATCGCGCGGCGGGCGCCGAGGGCCACCAGCCGGAGAGACCCGGGAGACCCGACGCCCGAGCTCTCCCAGAAGCAGGAAGGGGTCGAGAGACCCCTGGCCTACGCCAGGAAGACGTTCAGCAGGGCCGGAAGGAACTGCTGCACGACCTGCTGCGAGTCATTGGCCAGCCGCGGGCGCGGAACGGCCCGGGAGCCTGCGGCAACCCGAGCCGCGCTCCGCAGGCTGGAGGCACCCGCCCGAAGCAGGTCGTGGCGCAGACCGCTGCCCGCGCCGCCGGCCGGAGCGAGGCAGCAGACGGGGCGAGCAGGGCCCAGAGCCACGACGGGCAGGGTGCCGCGAGGCCATCCTGCCCGAGCCACAGCCGCCGTGGGCGTACGGTTGGCTCCGGCGATGGCACAAGGCGGTCGGGGGTCACGGGGGGCGCTCCCGACCGAGCCTGAAGCCGCGCGGGGCGCGGCGAGAGTTCACCGAAGGACTCTGGCGCGCGGGCCGATGCCGCAGTAGGGGGCCGCATGCGAACCCTACCCCTGCCCCCCACGATTTCCGAGGGGGAGGGTGGGGGTTCACTTCGCTCGGGAGCTCCCGAGCGAAGTGAGCCCCGTCCTCCCCCTCAGAAGTCGTTTGGGGCAGGGGTAGGTCTCGCATGCGGCCCCCTGTGCAGGGAACCGCGGAGCGCGAGGAGAAGGGAGAGTAAGAGAGAGAGAGAGAGCATGAAAGAACGTCGTAGTCAAGTTGAGAAGAAGCCAATTCCCTTTCATCCCTTCCATGCAGGGTGTGGGTCCCCCGGGTAGACGGGGGGGGGTCCCGAGGGAGGTCCAGGGTCAGAATACCATCCCCCCAGGGAGTCCTGGAGCCCAAAAATGCCCCAAGACGGACCAAGAGTGCCCCAGGAGACCCCCAAGACGGTCCGCAAGGGCTCCGAATCGCCGAACGATCGGTCCAAGACGACCAAGATAGCCTCCAGGTATTCCCAAAGAGGCCTCCAAGACGCCCCAAGAGGCCTCCGAGCACTCCAACGAATGCCACACGAGACAAATGTCATTGATTATCCGATTGTTCTTGACAGGTTTGGGCGTTCTCGCCTTCTCGGCTTCCCGACGCTCCAAGACGGCCGAAGAGGCCCCCTAAGATCGCCCCAAGACGGCCCAAGAGGCCCCCCCAAGACGGCCCCCAGGGCGCCCCCAAGGGGCTCCCGAGAGGCCCCCAAGTGGCTCACAAAAGGCTCCAACCCTGCCCCCAAGAGGCCCCCAAGAGCGCTCCGACAAGACCCCAAGAAGCATCCCTGAGGAGTCCGACCCACGTCAGCGTCGTCGTCGCCGTCGCCACCGCCGCCGTCGTCGTCCCCCTTCAGGGTGGACGGCACCAGCATTAAGGCCAACAAAATAAGAAAGCAGAGGAGGCCAGGAAGGCGGGGGAGGCCGCCGAGGCCGTCGAGGCCGAGGAAAATGAGAAGGCAGTGGAGGAGGTCAAGCAGGTCACCGAGGCAAAGAAGAGTAAGAAGGCACAGGAGCCAGGAATGCAAAGGAGGCCAGGAAGGAAGACGAGGTCACGAATACCGCCGAGGCCAGGAAGGCACAGGCGCCAAGAAGGAAGAGGAGCCCGCCAAAGCAGGACGCCCAAGAAGCCTAAAAAGGTGAGGACAGACGAGGAAGCCAGGAAGCCGAGGAGGCCATGGAGAGCCACACGCAGAACACGCAGAGCTCCGAGGGCCACCAGCTGAGCTACGAGGGCCAACGACTGAACTACGAGGGCCACGAGCAGTGTTTCGAAGGCTGCCAGACGAGGTGCAAGGGCCAAAAGTAGAGCTACGAGGGCAACAACCAGAGCGTCGAGGGCCACCAGCTGAGCGGCAAGGGCCACAAGCAGAGACACTGGGAGCACCCGCTCAGCTTCGCGGGCACCAAGCAGAGACTCGAGGACCGCCAGCAGAGCCCCGAGGGACACAAGCAGAGCCACGAGGGCAACAAGCTGAACTACGAGGGCAACAAGCAAAGCTTCGGGAGCAGCTAGCTCGGCTACGAGAACCACCAGCAGAGCTAAGGGGTCCACCAGCTGAGCTACGAGGACCGCCTGCTGAACGACGAGAACGACAAGCAGAGCCTCGGGGCCACCAGTTCAGGCTCATGGACCACCAGCAGAGCTACGAGGGCAACAAGCAGAGCTTCGAGACCCCCCCGCTGAGCGACAAGGGCCACCGGCAGAGACATGGGGGCCACCGCCTACGTAGGGGAAGTCCAAAGGCCATGACGAGTGCACGGCTCTACGCATTCAGCGGTGAGACTGGCCAGCCTGAAACCAGACGCTTGCCACCCTTGGGGCCGCCGTTGGACCTCGGCAGCGTGTCCTCTGCCTCATTGTGCAAGCACTGTTCGGAGGCGTGCCCTCGGGGTCCTGGCGGAGTGGGGCCCCTCTACCTCCTCCCCTGGAGTGCTGTGCAGCTGGGCCCTGCGACCGGGCCCAAGCCAGCTACCGTCACGGCTAGAACCAGCAAGTGCGTTCCTGCTCTTCTTCCCTCCGCTCTCCCTCCGTGTGAATACCTCCTCCTCCTCCTCCTCGCCTCCTCCTCCTCCTCCTCCTCCTCCTCCCCCTCCTTCCCCTCCTCCTCCCCCTCTCCGGCATCGCCACTCGTCGGCGCACGATGGGCGCACGCAGTGGGCGACAACCGAGCCGCGCGAAGCGCGCCGCGCCCGGGTGGAGGGATCGCACGGCGGCGACGACCCTGAGATCTGACGCTTCGACAAAAAATGCAGCATTGCGAAAAATCAAGACTAAAGCCCTAGACCCCATCTGGCTGCGGCGTTTTGCGAGCCGACTCGATCGGTGATGGTCCCGGGGCCCGAAGCTGAGTGAAGAAGTCTGGTGTACACACACACAACAAAAAAAAAGAACGCTCGTACGTACCTCAGAACGTGACGACGACGGCGCTGACGACGACCACGGCTGCGACGGCGGCAGCGGCGGCGATCCGCGCGGACGCGGCCGCGGGAGAGGGGGGGGGCGCCTTGCCCATGGTCGGCAACCACTCGAGCAGCCATTTGTCGTGGACCTCCCTGGGGGACCTCGCGGGCCGCCCGAGGGGGGCCGCCGGAGGGGGGCCGCCCCGAGGAGGCCACCCAAAGGAGGCCCACCAAATCCACTCCCACTGCAGGGCCCTCCACGAGGGTCACTGCAGCACGCGTATGCTTGGCTGGCGATCGGCACTCGCATGGGAATGTCCGCTTTCGTATTCCTCCTCCGTCCAAGCATCCCGACAACCGCAGAAGAACCCGCCACTCCACGTCTAATATGGCTCACCGAAGGCGAGCCAAAAGGGCCGGAATAAAATGCCCCCAAATGTTAAAAGAGGAGGTGAAATGCGTGCGCTGGAAATGCGGCCAGGCGTCGTACCGAGCGCCTGTCTGGCGGTCAGCCCTCGAGTAAGGCTGTCCGCCCCCCCCCCCAAAAAAAGGCCTATGAATGAGACCTGCACGGGTGCGAAACAAAATATAGGATGTACTGTGCCCAGGTGGTCTTAGCAACTCCTGCGTCTTACATGGGCAAGCGTGGCGTTGGGTAAATATGATTTGTGACTGGGTGGCCAGCGCGCCCTCAACGAAGGCCTGATCATCCACCTCCACCAACCCACAACACCATCGTCTGGACCACCCGCCTATTCCACCGAGAACGCGAGGCTTCCACCGAGCGTAAAACGGCCGCCAGGACAATGGAGCTGACCAAAATGTGCGGTTCAGCCTTCTGCCAGGGTCCGATAGCGCGCTGCTGACGTAGGGCCAGCGGCGAATATTCGGCCTACAGGAGCTGAATGTGGACTCTACTCAGAACTGGCCATCGCCCGGACTTTTTTCGGTTTCGTGCGTGGTTTTTTCGCGAGATGATCAAGGATGTTCCTCGATGGTCCTCGCCAAAGGAAACATGCACACGTCCGAGCGATGCCAAGAGAACTTCCTCCACAGCCACCAACCTCTCACCACCACCGCAACCTCCTACCCAAAAAAAAACGCGTGCGGAAAATGGTGCCCTTCGGGGCCTTATTTGCGGAAGAGAGAACGAGAAGTTTCTAACACTGGTGCGAAAGATGATGGGCAGGATGTGCCCCCAAAGGGTCAGAATATGCTGGCGTGGCGCAACATTCATGTGCGTGCGTTTCCGCACCAGCTCTGGAGTGCAGGATGTAAGGCATCAGGCTCAATGAAAAATACAGCTGGTCGTGATGCCAAGGGGCCCCCAATAGGCTCCCAAGAGACCCCAAAACTCCTCCCCAGAGGCCCCAGAGAGCTATCCTAAGAAACCCCAAGAAGCATCCCTGAGGACTCGGACCCACGTCGGCGTCGTCGTCGTCGCCGCCAACGCCGCCGGCGTCGTCGACGTCCCCGATCAGGTTCGGCGGCACCGGCCGTAAGGCCTTCGCAATACAGTTGGTCGTGATGCCAGTGCAATGCGTCAAGCATTCGCTGAAAGGCTCTTCAGCGTGTTCTCCAGCGCTGCACGAGATACTGCAAACCAAATTGATACGATCACTTCTGTAGTCTTGAATCGTACCCACTTTGTCGGGGTATCAAGTGTGTAAAACTTGCGAGACCTCGTCAACATCATCACACAAAAATAACCTATGCTACGAGCAGGTCTGTGTGGGGCGGCTGCGGTGACAGCAACACCTGTAAAAATTACAGGATATGTGGTGCCTCAAGAAATGTGTGTCTGGATCATCGGTTCCCTCTGATGCTCGTGCATCCGCCGCTTGCAAAGCTGCCAAAACAAGGATAGTTGGATCAACTGCGCGCCCCTAGCCTCTTCTGATGCCGCCGAGGTCGTTGCTCATGCTGTCTGGAGGAGCAGTGCTCTTCGAAGCTTCTGAAACATGATTAGTTTCTCGCTGGCTTGCCGATTCAAAACAGCCAGACAAATCAAACCCCTGTGGCATACCTGGCGCGACGTCGTTTATCACATCCGACTTGTCTGCAGTGTTGAGATCGCTTGGTTTGGGAACCAGCGCTTCTAAAACATCACCAGCAGTCAACCAGCCAAAATCGAAGTATTGAACACTTGTGCTGACAGTTATGTGGGATGGCATAGGGAATGAACTACGACATCAATGCATTGTGCCACAAGCATCACCCATACGATGCTCAACTTCGACATGTACGAGACGTGACGATTTGTCTGACGACGGCGATACGACGCCGACGTTAGGGACGATACCGGACAGAACAAGCTTGGTGGACGGTACAAGCTCATGAGCGTTGACATTCATGGGATAATGCAGAAAACACTGGTGAGACTGCAATTGCTGCGAACCAGGGCGCAACGTTATTGAACTTCGCATGTTCCAAAAACATATGTAGAGCATTGATGGCGCTATGAGATCTTAAAACTTGCCTGCGTGTATAACGGGCTCGCCGCCATTTTGCCCTGCTGTGAGCCAAAACGATTGATAACGTTGGAGATGCTGATGCGTATGGTGCAAAATGTCGCCCTCCATGTGATCTGAAATGGATTGAACACAAAATGGCAACAATGAGTGCAAAGCGAGGTCATCCTGCAGATCGATTGGTGCGACCCAATCGATCAACGAATGTCTTCGGTTGATCGCGGGCCGCCCTTAGCCCACCTGAGGGCAGGGCGCCTCGCCACGCCCTAGGCCGAAAGTCTCCTCCTCTTCCCTCCTCCTTCTCCTCCTCCTCCTTCTCCTCCTCCTCCTCCTCCTCCTCCTCCCTCCTCCTCCTGCCGTCATCTCCATCCTCCTGCTCCTCCCTCCTCCTCCTCCTGTTCCTCATCCTCCTCCCCGTGCGATGGTTCTCTTCTCCCCCTTCCCCCTCCCCCTCCTCCTCCTCTTCCTCCTCCTCCTCCTCCTCCTCCTCCTCCTCCTCCTCCTCCTCCTCATTGTCATCCTCTTCCTCTCCTTCCTCCTGTTCGCCCTCGTCCCACTCCCCCTCCTGATCCCTCCTCCCCATTATCCTCATGCTGGTGCACCTCCTCCTCCTCCTCCTCCTCCTCCTCCTCCTCCTCCTCCTCCTCCCCCTCCTCAACGTCCACGCCCTCCTTGTCATCCACCTCCGCCATCCAAGATGATGGACCCATGGTATGCCCTTGTTTGCGTGGCGCCCTTGGTGGTGTGGTGAGGGCTTTACAGAATGCAAGCAGCACTCGTCGCACGCTGGAGGCCTGGAAGCTCGCGATTGCCTGCTTCTCTCGACGGGCCCAACAAACATCAGATCCCTCCTCCTCCTCCTCCTCCTCATCATCATCCTCCTCCCTCCCCGCCACCCCCATCCGACCACGTAACTTTCCTCCTCATTGTCCTCCTCCTCCTCCGACGACGACGGCGACGACGACGAAGACTGCAACGATTTCGACGGCGGCGGCGGCGGACGATGGAACGCCGTTGGGGAGCTGGAAGTCGGCGTCGATGTCGAAGACCGACTCCTGGCACCCGGCAAAGCCGAGGGTGGCCAGGCACGGTCGCCGACGCTACAGGGCAGTTTTTAATACATGGGATGAGTTTTTATACTGGATCTTTAATACATGATTAGTGTATGTATACATTCGTGCATGAACTCATCGTTGTTGTTAGTACTAAATCCCTGCATGTTTAACACATGATCCGCACGCGGAGCATGTATTCAAAACGGCACTGTACCCTAAAAGGACAACGACGACGAGGATGAGGACGAGGAAGAGGGGGAGGAAAAATAGCAGAAAGGCAGAAAGGGGGAGTATGGAGCATGAACTGGCCTGCCACCAAGGCGGCAGGTCCCAGTGGAAGGAGCACGGGGAGGAAGACACGAAAGAGGAGGGGGCGGAGGAGGAGGAGGAGGAGGAGGAGGAGGGGCAAGAGCACGAGGGTAGGAGGGCGCAGTGGGCGAAGGGAGGGGAGGGAGGAGGGCGAGGAGGAGAAAGGCCCGTCCCGGGCCCGTGCTGATGCGCTCGCTGACTGTCCTGGCGTAGACCGCTGCCCATGAACAAGGTAACTCTGGCTTGAAGGCTTTGGCCACGGCATTGGCCTTCCCCGGAGGCCCAGGAACCATATGCAGTCCAAGAATACAGGAGGAAGCGATCACGATAAACATCCCGGCGAAGGACCCAACCATATGTAGTTGTGAGTAACGGAGTTGTCAACAGCATCTTCGGTTGAGCACGCCATGGGCCACGAAACGTGTGAAGGGTGCGCCGAAATGGGGGTGGAACTGCACGCGGACCCTGCCGCTGGGGCCTTCCATGGAGCACCCTAGGGGGCCACGCAGCGAGGGCATGCGGAGGGCAAAGGCAAGGCATTGGAGCAGGGAGGAGCGAGAGGAGGGGGGGAGGAGAGGAGAGGAGGGGGGGGGCGCGGGGCGCCGTCTCTTCGCTACGAGGGCCCTCCACCACAGGATGGTTCGGAAAAATAATCTCCTTTTTGAACGGCGGTGGACCTCCACCTCGACGATGACGACGACGACGACGACGACGACGACGACGACGATGACGATGACGATGACGATGCCGATGCCGATGACGATGACAATGCCATCGCCATCGTTATCGTCACCGGCATCATGATCACCCTCCGCCTCATCCGCCTCCTCCTCCACCCGTTGTCCTTGTAAGCAACTCCTCCCTGTCGCACCCCCAGACGTATCGGTGGGGCGGGCCAGGCGTTTCGCCTGGACTTCTTCACCATGTACGATCCTGAAGCTTGAACGCTGCAACAAGTCCACTGGCGGAAGGCGGGTGTGGTTTCAAAATGTGGCTCTTGCCTTAGCGCCGTGCACATTCGTCTTAAAAGTTTGCAACAGCTTCACGGATTGAAGGCGGGCGGTGTTCAAAATGTGGCTCTCGCCTCGGCGCTGCGCACATTCGTTTTGAAAGTTTGCAACCGATCGGGTCAGCAAAATGTGGTGTTCGCCTTGGCGCCACGTATATGGTTTCTGCAAGTCCCCAACCGTTTCAAAGATTAAGGACTTTTCTTGTTCAAACTATGAGTATCGCCTTAGCGACGCGCACACTTGAATTGAACACTTACAACTGTTTGAAGGATTCGCATGGTCGAAGTCAGTGGAATAGTGTCTTGGCAAGACTTCGGATTGCCGGGGCGCAAAAGTCAGTTTGACTCGCGGCGTTGAAGTCTCAAGAATTGCGTTCTGGCGCGACTCAGGATTGTTAGGATACAGCAGTAATGTTGGCTCGCGACGCTGAAGTCCCAGGAATCGAACTTTGGCGCGATTGGGATTTATCAGACGGTTGCCTTCTAATGGGGCATTTCCTTTAATATTCCCCAGCTCTTGTAGCGCCATATGAAGAGGAAGCTTGAACAGAGGGCGTATTCCGACATCGTTGGGGTGCCTTGGGTTGACACTGGTCATCTAGCTCATCCTATGTCCTCCTCCATCTCCTCCTCCTCCTCCTCCTCCTCCTCCTCCTCCTCCTCCTCCTCCTCCTCCTCCTCCTCCTCCTCCTCCTCCTCCTCTTCCTCCTCCTCCTCCTCCTCCTCCTCCTCCTCCTCCGCCTCCCTCCTCCTCCGCCTCCGCCTCCGCCTCCTCCGCCTCCTCCTCCTCCGCCTCCTCCTCCTCCTCCTCTCCGCCTCCTCCTCCTCCTCCTCCTCCTCCTCCTCCTCCTCCTCCTCCTCCTCCTCCTCCTCCTCCTCCTCCTCCTCCTCCTCCTCCTCCCTCCTCCGCCTCCGCCTCCTCCTCCTCCTCCCCTCCTCCTCCTCCTCCTCCCCTCCTCCTCCTCCGCCTCCTCCTCCTCCCTCCTCCTCCTCCTCCTCCTCCTCCTCCTCCTCCTCCTCCTCCTCCTCCTCCTCCTCCTCCTCCTCCTCCTCCTCCTCCTCCTCCTCCTCCTCCCCTCCCTCCTCGTGTTCCTCCTCCTCGTCTTCCTCCTCGCTTTCCTCCTCCCCTTCCTCCTCCCCTCCTCCTCCTCCTCCTCCTCCCCCTTTTCCTTCATTCCTTTTCCTTAAAAATAATTTGTCCTTGTCGCACCCCGTGGCCCGTTTTTGGGGCTGGCCAGGCGTTTCGCCTGAGACTTCGTCACCACGTACGAACCTTCAGCTTACAGAGTGACAACAGCTCCACAGATGGAGAGTGGGTGATTTTCAAAATGTGGTTCTCGCCTTAGCGCCGCACACATTCATTTCAAACATGTGCAGAAGAGTTTTGCGGATTGAGGGCAGGTCGTTTTCAAAATGTGGCTCTCGCTGTTGCGCCGCGCACATTCATTTCAAAAATGTGCAAGACGCTTACGGATTGAGGGCGGGTGGTTTTCAAAATGTGGCTCCCGCCTTAGCACCGCGCACATTCGTTGTGAGAATGTGCAAGAGTCTCGGATTCCAATGATCAGCGTACCAGAAATTGTGCTCTGGAGAGATTTAGGATTATGAGGGTCAAACGGTTACGTTGATTCGCGGCGTTGCAGTCCCAGGAATGGCGTTCTGACACGATTCAGGATCGTCAAGACGCAACAGTCAGGTTGATCCACGGCGTTGGAGTCCCGGGAATGATGCTTTGGCATGCTTGAAGATCTTCAAACGGTTGTCTTCCAACGAGGCAGTTCCCAGTGGATATGAACCGTTGTAGGGGCCAATGAAGAGGAAGCTTGGAGGGAGGATTTATTCCAACATCGTTGATGACTCTTGGTTTTACACTGGTCCTCCTCCTCCTCCTCCTCCACCCTCCTCATCCTCCCTCCCTCCCTCCCTCCCTGCATCGCTCCCTCGCTCCCTCGTTCCCTCCCTCCCCCCCCCTCCCTCCCTCCCTCCCTCCACCTCCTGGATTTACTATGACCCCACTCCCCCTCATCCGAGGAAGAGGAGGGGGCAACAGGCGGCCGAGGGACCAGAAGAAACTCACGAAGCCTCGCAGGCCCGGAAGGCCAGCACACTGCGCCGCTCCAGCGAGCGCTGGTGCCGGCACACGGCGGCCGACTGCAGATCAGAGGGCGGGTGCTGACCCTTTCGGCAATCCGAGCAATGAACGTGAACGCCATGCCCTCGCCTGCAGAAGCCCCTGTCGTACGGGGAAGGCGGCGCACAAAGGAAACCACCAGTGACCGGCGCGCCGGCGATCACACGATGGCTGGAGGCCCCGGCGTCTGACACCATGACAGAAAACGCAACACCGTGAAAAGCTACCAACCGAACTCTCGAACCCGTCTTCGGGCGGTGCGCTGCTCATCGGGGAGGAGGATCGCGGATCGAGGAACGAGGAGAAATATCGAGAAGAACGAGGATCGAGAATCGAGAATGAGGATCAACGAGGAGGAACGAGGATCGGAGAAGATCGAGGACAAAAACCTATGATCGAGTATCACGCAGGACGAAACGAAACCCAAGATGTAACAACCATGCTGCAATACACCTTCCCGTCCGAAGTCCCCTCCTGAATAGTCCTTACAAGAACTCTTCTTCACTATGCGAAGTGCACCGCATGAAAGACGTGCACCCCATGAACCAGCAATTCAGGCGGGAACTCTGGATTGACAGAAAATTTGCAAATCTTCCTTTGATCTGTGAGGAATGCGGCTAGGTGAGGCCAAGAGAAATAACCAACGACAATCCCATTTTTTAGAAAAACAACCACCCTCCATTCCGTGTCGCTGTTGCCCACCTTCAATCTTCTAGTCATACAGCCTAACGACGTCTCGACGGAGATGACCACGTAAAACAAACAAAACAAAACAAAACAAACAAACAAAAAAACAACAAAAAAAAAAAAACAAAAAAAACGAAACCCATCCGTGAAACTGCCCCGCATGCTCAAGCATATGAAAAAGGGCCTGCCTCCATCCATGTAAATATTGGATGGCTGACACACGATTGTGCGCAGCGCAGAGGCGACAACCCCATTTTGATATAAGCACCCGACCCCAATGCGCGTAACCATTGGATTATCCGCAACAATAAACTGCGCACGGCGCCAAAACGAGATCTCTATTTTGAAAAGAAGCCACCCTCCACCCATGTAGCTGCTGTACCTGTTGAAGCTCGTGGCCATGTATGTTAGACTGGTTGAAGCTCGTAGCTCGTTGAAAAGGACTCGCCCCCCATACGCATAGATATTGGATTGAGAAGAAGGCCACAGCACGTCGCCGAGGCGAGAACCCCACTTCCAAAGGGAGCTACCCTTCACCCTTGTGACTGTTGCACATGTTGACGGTCCTGGTAATGAATGTTGAGGAAGCCTCAGAAGGAGCACCCCGCTCTGCAAAACTAGGGGAAAAAAAGTGGCATAAACATAAAAACTCGGAGGTCCACGCGGATTTCTCGGATCGGCGCTGGACCCCCCTCCCTGGCGCGCGGAGCGCGCCAGGGGCGGCGCCGGAGGTGCCGCCGGGGGGGCCCCAGCGCCGATCCGAGAAATCCGCGCGGACCTCCGAGTTTTTATGTTCATGCCACTTTTTGTTCCCCTAAATGGCCCCGCTCTCCCCCCCACTGCCCATATTTTTACATATTTTCCTAGAAGTCGACGATGAATTGTTGTCTGTGTGTTTCCTTCCCTCCTGAGTCGAGGAAGCCTCCAGAGGAGAACCCCGCCCTGCAAAACCCCCGCCCTCCGCCCGTGCCGCTTCTGAGAATGCCTGCGAGAAGTGCAAGAAGAGTCCGAACCGAACTGGTAACCGTGAACCGGCGGCTCCTGCAACCGAACCGCCCGAACCGGAGAAACCCTGAAACCGGACCCTGCAAAACCCCCGAACCTGAGAATGGCGAGAAGTGCAAGAAGAGTCCGAACCGAACTGGTAACCGTGAACCGGCGGCTCCTGCAACCGAACCGCCCGAACCGGAGCCCGAACCGGACCGGCTGAAACCGGACCGGGCGGTTCGAACCGAACCGGCCGGTCGAAACCGGCCCGAACGGCAAGCCCGAACCGGGTGGAACCGAACCGGGCCCCGGGACTCCCCACCGGCCCAAGAAAGCCCCCAGAAGAGCCCCGGTGCCGGCACCGACCCCCCCCCCCGGTGGCCGGCACCCCCCCCCCCGGCGCCGGCACCCCCCCCCCTGCCGGCACCCCCTCCCGGTGCCGGCACCCCCCCCCACCCCCGCGGCCCCTGCCGGCACCCCCCCCCCCCGGTGCCGGCACCCCCCCCCCCCCCGTTCCGTTGCGGCCCCCCCCCCCCCCGGTGCCGGCCCCCCCCCCCCTGTGCCGGCCCCCCCCCCCCCCGGTGCCGGCCCCCCCCCCGGTGCCGGCCCCCCCCCCCGGTGCTGCACCCCCCCCCCGGCGCCGGCCCCCCCCCCCCCCCCCGGTGCCGGCCCCCCCCCCCGCGCCCCCCCCCCCCCCCCGGTGCCGGCACCCCCCTCGGGGGTGCAGCAGGGCGCGGGGGAGGGGAGGCGAGGACCCCCTCCTCCCTCCTCCTCCTCCTCCTCCTCCTCCTCCTCCTCCTCCTCCTCCTCCCTCCTCCTCCAGGCGGCAATTGCAGCTCCAGGCGGCCGAACCCCGCCCTCCTCTCCGGGCCCCCGGAGGCCCGCGTTTTCCGGCCCCGGGGCCGCGGAGACGAGGGGAAGAGCGGCATGAGGGAAGGGGCCGAGAGGTCCGGGGGCGCCCGACGACGACGACGACGGCGGCGACGACGACGACGACGACGGCGGCGACGACGACGACGACGACGACGACGACGACGACGACGACGGCGACGACGACTGCAGCGAGGCACCTCGCCGGGCGCGGAGCCGATGGGCGCGCGAGCCTCCTCGCTCCGCGCTCCTGGCACCTCGCTCCTCGCCCACCTCCTAAACCTCCTCCTCCTCCTCCTCCTCCTCCTCCTAACTCCTCCTCCTCCTCTCCTCCTCCTCCTCCTCACTCCTCCTCCTCCTCCTCCTCCTCGAACCTCCTCCTCCTCCTCCTCCTCCTCCTCCTCTCCTCCTCCTCCTCCTCCTCCTCCTCCTCCTCCTCCTCCTCCTCCTCCTCCTCCTCCTCCTCCCCTCCTCCTCCTCCTCCTCCTCCTCCTCCTCCTCCTCCTCCTCCTCCTCCTCCTCCTCCTCCTCCTCCTCCTCCTCCTCCTCCTCCTCCCTCCTCCTCCTCCTCCTCCTCCTCTCTCCTCCTCCTCCTCACTCCTCCTCCTCCTTCTCCTCCTCCGGCCCAAAACCGGCCCCCCCAAAACCGGACCGTCCCGCGACCGCCGAACCGAACCGGCATAACCGACCCGGACTGGCAAAACCGGACCGACCAAAACCGGACCGGCGCCGAAATCGAACCGCTGCAACCGAACCGGTCCGCCGCCGAACCGGCCCGAACCGGCCCGAACCGGCCCGAACCGGACACTTCCTGGAGAAGAGAGGCGCGCGCGCGCGGCGCCCAGGACGAGAGCCCTCCGGCTGGAACACAGGACGTCGCCCTCCCTCCGTGGAGCTGCCTGGCCCTGCCCGCGGCGAGCCGAGGGCGGCGCCACGACGAGAGCACCACTCCGAGACTGCCCGAGCGGCCCGCCCCTGCGCCCGCCGAGGTCCGCCCGCCCGCCCCGCCCGCTCGGGGCTCTCGCCCGCCCGAGATCCGCCCGCCCGAGGTCCGCCCGCCACCCGCCTGCTGCGCGCTGCCTGCTGCGCCCTCCCGCCCGCTCGAGGTCCGCCCGCTCCGCCCGCCTGCCCGGCTGGCTCCGCCCGTCCGCGCGCCTGGGCGCCCTCCCGCCGCTGCGCGCTGCGCCGCCGCCCGGCCCCGCCCGCGAGGCCCCGCCCGCCCGGGCCGCCGTCCGTCCGAGGAGCCGAGCCCCGAAGCAGAGGCGAGGCGACCTGTGTCCGCGGAGGCGTTGGAAGCTCCCGAGGTCGCGACGGACGAAACGCCCCTTCCACCCTCACGCCTGTTGCTGCGACAACGAAGAGCGACTCCCCAATCAGTAGTACTAATGGGGACCTAGCGGATGCCGAAAGACTCGGCAAAACTGCCAGGAAAATTTCGGTGGGCGCCAGGTTCCTGGCTTCCCGGTGCCGGAATCCGGCGAAAATGCTGGGCCGATTTCGGTGGGCGGCCAGGTTCCTGGGATCTCGGTTCCGGGTTCCTGGCTAAGCCGATTTCGGACCGAGTTCCCGCATTCCCGTTTCGGGGTTCCCAGCACTGTAAAGTTCCCGAGGTTCTCGGATTTGCGGCCAAGTGCCCAGGTCTGTGTGACCGCGGTCAGAATGAGAGTAGATAGTAGAATAGAGGGTTCATATCAGAGGGCAATCATTGCTCGGACTATGTATGAGCATGAAGTAGGAGAGCGCTGAAAGTAAATTGTGTCTACACCTGCCTCCGAAGGTGAAGTAGAAAGGAAAAACACTCGCCTCTTGAAATCAGCCGACCTTGTCGGCACGTGTCAGGGGGAATTGTGGGTCCGTCGTCCCTGGGTGTTCCTCAGAGACGATCGCTCACTTTATTCCCAACCCTCCTGTGTAAGGTTCTCGTTTTGAATAGAGCAAAGTGGTATGCGCTCCTTGTCCTTCTCCTCCCCTCCTCTTTTTCCCCCACCCTTTTGTTGGGTTATCGTTTTGAGTAAAGCACTGTGGTATCCACTCCTTCTCCTTCTCCTTATCCTCCCCCCTCTTCCTTCCTCCTCCTGCGCTGGTCCCTGGGTGGCTGCGAGCTGCGCAACTGTGGCCACTACCGTGGGCCCCCGGCAGACACGGTAGAGGTGAGGGAGTACGCGCATCCAGCCGAGACCTCGCGGCTCCCTGGGTGGCCGCGAACTCCGCAACCAGCGCCACTTTCGTGGGCTCCTGGGAGACACGGCGGAATAAAGGAGTACGCGCATCCAGCCGAGACCTCGCGGCTCCCTGGGTGGCCGCGAACTGCACCGGCGATGCGGCGCGATCCTCCGACCCCATCTGCTCGGACCCCATCTGGGAAGCTCACAGTGGGAGCTCGACCACGAGCAACCGTCCCCCTGGAAATCCAACCCTCCGACCCCAGGACGTGCGTTGATGCCTGGCGTGGGAGCGTCGCGCTCTCCATTTCAAAGCCAGCGGCACCCCACAAGCCCAGGGCACCCTGGAGGCCAGAATCGGACGTTGGCAGAACTGGGTTTTTTTGTGGAACCTGGTTTAGTGATTGTACCGGGGGCGCCCCCCGACCCATTTCCACTAACCGGAACTGCCGTCACCCGAAACACACCAGTTACGGCAAACCTGGTTTAGTGAATCTGGCCAATTGAAGGGCCCCAGGGCCCCACCACTAATCGGGTCCCATTACCCCGGGGCCCTGGCCATACCCGACAGAGGGGCGTCTCTTGGCATGGGTCTCCACTGCTAGGAGCCTGCACGGAGCCGAGAGCCGAGAGCGCTCTCGGGAGCGCGGCGGCGGCGGCCGAGAGCCCTGCCGCACTCGGGGCACGTCGGCGGCGGCGGCCGCCGAGGCGGGGCAGGGTCCCGAGGGCAAGGAGCGGGCGGAGGCCCACGGCCACGGCGAGCCTCGGCCACGAGTGGGTCCCACGACGTGAGCCCGAGGGACGACCCGACAGCCTGGGCCCCTCCCAGGCTTCACTCGGGCGCGCCCCCAAGTCGAAGCGGGGGGCGCGCCCCTCCCAGGCTTCATCTGGGGGCTTCAGTCGGGCGCTCCCAGATGAACAACATCCCTGCTGCTCAAAACTGACCTAGAACTTAGTCGAAAGGTCGTCCCCAGGCTATCTTTTTGACTATCGTGGAATACTCCCCCTGTAGAATAGCAGGCCCGACTTCAGTCTTGACCGTGCACAGGCCCCAAGAGGTCGAGCCCTCGAGGCCCCAACAGGTCGAGCCCCAAAAGAGTTGTTGAGGCCTTCCTCCCTGATCCTCGTCGTTGTCCTCTCCTTCATCATCTTCTGCCCTGCTCCTCCTCGTCTTACGTCGGGCCTGTCCCCCATACAGGGAGATTTTGGAGGAGAAATGGCCATGTTTTGACATTTTTTGAATATTCCTCCTGTAGAGGGACAGGCCCGACTTAATCCTCGTCCTTGTCTTCTCTTCAGGGGACGAGGACAGAAGATGAGGACGAGGAGGAGCAGGACACGGAGCCGCAGGAGCGGCCACGGACACCGCCGCTCGGGGCAGGCGGCAGCTGCGGCGGGCAGGCCCGCCGCTCCACGAACTGGTACATGAGGTCGTCGATGCTGTTGACGAAGACGATCGCCATGGAGGAGTACAGGATGTCCGGGACAGCCTCCCCTCCTCCTCCTCCTCCTCCTCCTCCTCCTCCTCCTCCTCCTCCTCTCCTCCTCCTCCTCCTCCTCCTCCTCCTCCTCCTCCTCCTCCTCCTCCTCCTCTCCTCCTCCTCCTCCTCCTCCTCCTCCCCCGCCTCATCCTCCCCCTCCTCCCCCGCCTCCTCCTCCTCCTCCTCCCAGGTGGCGTTTCTCGGCGCCCCCATCCAGCGCCCTAGAGGCGCAAATATGTGCCTCGAAGAGAGCGCCAGGCAGCGGGGCCGAGGCCCGCTGCGCTGCAGCAGACAGACTTCGTCCCCCCCCTCCCCAAAAAATCCGCTGGAGGGGCGGGGGGCGGGCAGGCGGGATGGGCGCGGGGCGGGGAGAGGAAGGGAAGGGGGCGCGGGGGCGGGCGGGGCGAGGCGGTGGGAGGCGAGGGGGGGGGGAGAGCAGGGCTGAACCCCGACGCTGATTTTTGTTGTGTTCGCGTTTTGATGCTCATGTTGCTCGACCTGTTTCCCGGTACCTCCCTGCCAAAACGAATAACAAGACACAGCCGAGGTCCAGCAAAGCAGCGCTCAGATCCAGCCCTGGTGGAGAGGCCGAAGGTGAGGAGGGCGAGGGGGCCCCCCTCTCGCCCGATCCGACCGGGGGGAGAGAAAAGACCAGGGGCGGCTGAGAGAGGGGCGTCCCCTGAGAGACGGGGATTCGCAAACCATGGCCCGAGGCACGTGCACGGCCCAGGGGGGCCAGAGGGAGTGCCGAAAGAAGAGGAGGGGGCCATGATATCCAGGGAGGCATCACTGAAGGGGCCCTGGGACACACAAATAAATGCACACCAATAAAAATATTCCCCATGTCTTCCCATAGTTTCGGGGTTTCTGTCTTCCCCCCCACTGGGGAATCGACGATCAATATTTTCCCATAGTTTCCCATATTTCTGGGGAGTCGACGATTAATTGTGTCTGTGTGTTTTTTTCTCCTCTTGAATGATATCCAGGGAGGCATCATGGCCCCAGGCATGGTGGCAGCCCCCCTGCAGCCACCGTGCTGCAATACTACCATGAGGACTGCGGAAGGCGGAACGAGGCGGCTTTTCTCTGGCCACGGGCGAGCCTCGGCCTCGAACAGGCCCCCCGGCCCCGGATCTGCGGCACGATCCCCGCAGACCCGAGCCCCTCCCTCGGCTAGGCGTAAGAGTGACCCTGGGTAAAAGTGACCTTTGGTGCGCAGCTTTTTGGGGCGCGAGGGAGCCAAACCCAAGGGCGCGGGCCGCTTAAATCGCATCACGCTCGGCGATCGGGGGGAGCCCGATGAGCCCGCACCAAAGGTCACTCTGGCGAAAGGTCACTCTTACGTGTAGTCGACTCCCGAGCCCAAGGCGGTCCCTACTTCACTTCGACGTCTTGCCTGTGGTCGTCACCACCCCTCGGCCGGCCCAGGCGAGAGGGAAGAGGGCCGCCCCAGGACCCTCGCCATCGCTCGGACGTCCACTCTCTGTGTGTTTGTTCGGTTTCGTGCGTGGCTTTCTCGCCCAATGATCAAGGATGCTCCTCGATGGCCCTCGCCTAAGAAAAAATATGCACAAGTCCGAGCGATGCCAAGAGGAGGAGCCGGGCCGTCCGAAGTGAGCGGCCGCCATGCCGCGCCGAGGGCGGGGGGTGGGGGGCCGCCTGGCCATCGGCCGCGGCCGTCCATCGGGTGGGGGGGGGGGCGCGGGAGCTTCCTGGCGGGCAGCGATACGAGGGGGCTGGTTCAGGGAGGGACGAAGTGTGGCGGCGCGCAGAGAGGGGTAGGGGGAGGGGGGAAGGCTTCTTAGAAGGGGGCTGCTTATGGAAGGCGCCGGCCTTCCCATGTATCAAGAGGGCCCGCGCCTTCTGAGAAGCAAGGGTGTTTCTCCTTACCCCCTCATCCTACCCCCCTCTGCGCGTGGCCGAGAAGATTGGAGGTTCGAGGTTTGAGATTTTCTGACATTTTTGTTGTTCCTCGACGGCTCTTCAGCCTGTGGCTGCTTACCGACGGCTGCGCCTCACCGAGGGCGGTCCTGGGGTTCCCGGATCGTCCCGAACGGCCGCTGGAGGCCCGACTCATGATCTGAAACAGCCAGGGAGCCTGCTCAGGGGGGGGACATCGACCTGGCATCGGCGATACATCGCCCATTCAGAATGGGCGATTGGGTTTGCCAGTGCTTCCCCACCATGAGGCCATCGTCAAGATCAATCCCTGGACCTCTCCTGGGTGCGCTCTGCCGAACATTTCTTCTCGGATTCAGCCGTGGCCACGGGGGCGCCTCGGGACGATCCCATCTCTCTAGACAGCGAGCCCCGGCCCTCGCACCCCAAAGCCCTAACAACTCCCTCGGAGCCCTGAGCAGATCCCCCTCGTGACGTTGTCTCCTCCTCCTCCTCCTCCTCCTCCTCCTCCTCCTCCTCCTCCTCCTCCTCCTCCTCCTCCCTCCTCCTCCTCCTCCTCCTCCTCCTCCCTCCTCTCCTCCTCCTCCTCCTCCTCCTCCTCTCCTCCTCCTCCTCCTCCTCCTCCTCCTCCTCCTCCTACCTCCGCCCCCGCCCGGCCCTGGAGCCCACGCCGGCCTGGAAACTCAGCACCACTGCCACGCCGCCGAAGAGCACCCACAGCGTCACGACGTACTGGCCTGAGGAGCCCAGGGGGGAGGAGGAGGAGGAGGAGGAGGAGGAGGAGGAGGAGGAGGAGGAGGAGGAGGAGGAGGAGGAGAAGGAGGAGGAGGAGGAGGAGGAGGAGAAGGAGGAGGAGAAGGAGGAGGAGGAGAGGGCGGCGTGAGGACCCCAAGCCCTCGCGAGCGGCGAGCGCATCCATGTGCACGCCCTCGCGGTCTGAACTCTGGGTCGCGATTCCGCGGACACGCGGTCGCAAGGATACGCTCCACGCGGGGCATCCGCGAAAACACACCCCGTATCCGTGGGGCCGCGGCCCAGGGGCCCGGCCCACGAGGCCGCGGACACGGATATGTTCGACGCCCCCCACGGAGGCCAGGCCGGCAGGACGACCCCCTAGGCCTCCTCGAGCCCGTGTTGCGACTGTTCGCGGCAATGCCCGCGACTGCACGCGACTGGCCCCGCACCACCACCCCCGCCCCCCCACGTTGATCACGTCACGCTTCGCGCCGACGCCTTGCGGGAACTAGCCGTTCCTAAACTTCTGTTGCTCTCATCGCACTCGAGGACCAAATCACTAAAATCATTTCGAGCAGCCCGAACAATACCGAAACGGTGTCGAAGACAAGCATCGCCTCCCAGGGCCCGACACGTGAAAACCCTCCAGTTTCGGTACTTCCCCTGTGCTCGAGAAACTCTTTCTAGTGATCAAGACCAAAGTAGGTTGGCCCGTTATACTCCTAAACATTCCCGGACGGCGCCTGCACGTTCGTCAGGTCTTCGGGGAGCACACTCGGCGGTGGACAAACCTCCCTTTAGTAAACCTCCCCTCAGTGAAAGCGGCCTCGGGCCGAAACCGACGGACCTGGACCCGCAAAAACGACGGCCGCGGCGCCCGCTCGCGAACCGAGAACGGCCAAGTCGCTCATCGACGCGTCAGGGTAGGAGGTCTGTCCACCCCCGATGAACGTTCCCGGACGGCGCCGGCACGTTGGTAAGGTCTTCGGGGAGCACACAGACACGCCCCCTGAGTGGTCCCTGGCCATCGCTCGGACGTCCATTTCCTCTGCTTTTTTCGGTTTCGTGCGTGGTTTTTTCGCGAAATGATCAAGGATGCTCCTCGATGGCCCTCGCCGAGGGAAAAATGCACACGTCCAAGCGATGCCAGGGGTCCAGGGCGGTCTCAACACCCTGGCACTGCCGCGGACGGCCCCGGGGGGCGTGCCGCGGGTGGAGGCGCGGAGGCCGCCCGCTGGAGCACTCCTGGGCGGAGGGATGTCGTCACGTGGTGCGAGGTTCCCCCCTCCCCACCGGATCCCCCTCCTCTTCATCCTCTTGTTTTTTCCACTAGACCTCGATTGTTCAATTTACCCTCACGAGTCGTTCATCCAAAGGGCGAGTCCCGCGATGCGCATCTCTCGCGCGCCTGCGCAGGACTCAGACATGGAGACGGGGCGCCCCCCCCTTCAGGTAGGCCAGCATCTCTCGAAGAATCGGTTCGAACACCTCCCACGCAACGGCGACCAAACCTGGTCCTCCTCTTTATATCCTCCTCCTCCTACTCCTCCTCCGACTCGCATCACGTGACGGATCCAAGTCACCGAACCTCGGAACTGCCTGGCGGGGCTGGCTGTGCGCAACCCGAAGCAGCTTTACCGAGTCGCGCCATTCTCGCCTCCTGGGGGCCGCCGCAAGAGCCCAAAACTATCAAGGCTAAGCTAGGGGACCGGAGCAGGAACAGGCCAGCAACAGCAACAACAGCTAGCCCGGGGAAGCAGTCTGAACCTCGGCGAACAGAGTCGCTGCGCCCTGACAAGAATCGAGGCGACTGTCCTTCCCAGGCATCCGGCACTCCAATTTTCCGACGCGCGGAGCCCGAAAAAGGCCTGGGCAGCATCCCCAGGGCCAGTCTTCGTCCTCGCGATCGCTCGGACGTCCATTCCCTGTGTTTTTTTCGGTTTCGTGCGTGGTTTTTTCGCCAAATGATCAAGGATGCTCCTCGATGGCTCTCGCCGAAGGAAAAATGCACACGTCCGAGCGATGCCAAGCGTCCTGACTCGTTTTTGGATGGTCCCGGGGCCCGTCGAGGGCCCCTGGAGGCCGAAAAGCTTGCCAGAACCTTGCCGCTACCACTTAGTCGGAACCTCGGACCTCTGGGCTTGGGTCGGGCATGTCATGTCCTCCTCTGCAGGCGGATCCTGCACGGGAAAAAAAATAGTCAACTAATCCTCAAAAATGGCCAACAATGGTCGAAGAATCGTCCCCAGACTGTCTGTTGACTGTTTCTGGATATTCCTCCTGTAGGGGGACACGCCCGACTCAAATTTAGTCTTAAGTCGGGCCTGTCCCTCTACAGGAGGAATATTCCAGAATAGTCAAAAAATGGTCTGGGGACGATTTTTGTACTATTTTCGACCATTTTGGGGCATTCTTCGACTATTTTTCAATTGTTCGTCGAAAGTCCGCCCGTAGGGGGACACGCCCGACGTAAATTCAGTCGAAGCCTCGGACCTCTGGGCCGTCGCCCTCGTCGGCGTCCCCGCGGGGAAGGGCCGTCGCGTACCCGGGCCGCCGGAGAGGTCGGGGCAGGAGGCGAGGGACCGGTCCTCTGGCAGTGGGCCGGGAGGTCCGGGCAGGGAAGTATCCGCATCCGCCGCCCGGGAACCGACGTCCTGGTGCCCCAGCGGGCGGTGGCTATGGATATATCTATTTATATATAGATATATATATATATATATATATATATATATATACATATATATATATATATATATATATATATATTATATATATATATATATATATATATATATATATTCTGGCCCCCCCTGCCAGAGCTCCGCAAACGGAACCTCCATATGGACATATCTCGGGCCCCCCGGGCGGCCCGAATCTGTCCATGTCCACCGCCCGCCGGATCTCCGCAAACGGAACCTATCTCGGCCCCCGGGGGGGCCCGAAGATGTCCATGTCCACCGCCCGCCAGAGCTCCGAGAACGGAACCTCCATATGAATATATCTCGGCCCCCTGGGGGCCCGAAGATGTCCATGTCCACCGCCCGCCAGAGCTCCGAGAACGGAACCTCCATATGAATATATCTCGGCCCCCTGGGAGGCCCGAATGTGTCCGTATCCACCGCCCGCCAGAGCTCCGAGAACGGAACCTCCATATGGACATATCTCGGCCCCCCGGGCGGCCCGAATGTGTCCATGGCCACCGCCTGCCAAAGCTCCGCAAACGGAACCTCCATCTGGATATATCTCGGCCCCCGGGGGGGCCCGAAGATGTCCATGTCCACCGCCCGCCAGAGCTCCGAAAATGGAACCTCCATCTGGATATATCTCGGCCCCCGGGGGGGCCCGAATGTGTCCGTATCCACCGCCCGCCAGAGCTCCGAGAACGGAACCTCCATTTGGATATATCTCGGCCCCCGGGGGGCCCGAAGATGTCCATGGCCACCGCCTGCCAAAGCTCCGCAAACGGAACCTCCATATGGATATGTCTCGGCCCCCGGGGGGGCCCGAAGATGTCCATGGCCACCGCCCGCCGGAGCTCCGAGAATGGAACCTCCATCTGGATATATCTCGGCCCCCGGGGGGGCCCGAATGTGCCCGTATCCACCGCCCGCCAGAGCTCCGAGAACGGAACCTCCATGTGGATATATCTCGGCCCCCGGGGGGCCCGAAGATGTTCATGGCCACCGCCTGCCAAAGCTCCGCAAACGGAACCTCCATATGAATACATCTCGGCCCCCGGGGGGGCCCGAAGATGTCCATGGCCACCGCCCGCCGGAGCTCCGAGAATGGAACCTCCATCTGGATATATCTCGGCCCCCCCCGGGAACCGCGGGTCCCCGCCGCCAGAAACCGAACCTCCATGTGGATATGTCTCGGCCCCCGGGGGCCCGAAGATGTCCATGGCCACCGCCTGCCAAAGCTCCGCAAACGGAACCTCCATCTGGATATATCTCGGCCCCCGGGGGGGCCCGAAGATGTCCATGGCCACCGCCCGCCGGAGCTCGAGAACGGAACCTCCATCTGGATATATCTCGGCCCCCGGGGGGGCCCGAATGTGTCCGTATCCACCGCCCGCCAGAGCTCCGAGAACGGAACCTCCATTTGGATATGTCTCGGCCCCCGGGGGGGCCCGAAGATGTCCATGGCCACCGCCTGCCAAAGCTCCGCAAACGGAACCTCCATATGGATATGTCTCGGCCCCCGGGGGGGCCCGAAGATGTCCATGGCCACCGCCCGCCGGAGCTCCGAGAATGGAACCTCCATCTGGATATATCTCGGCCCCCGGGGGGGCCCGAATGTGTCCGTATCCACCGCCCGCCAGAGCTCCGCAAACGGAACCTCCATGTGGATATGTCTCGGCCCCCGGGGGGGCCCGAAGATGTCCATGTCCACCGCCCGCCAGAGCTCCGAGAACGGAACCTCCATCTGGATATGTCTCGGCCCCCAGGGGGGCCCGAAGATGTCCATGGCCACCGCCCGCCGGAGCTCCGAGAACCAAACCTCCGGGCGGTGGTCCTGCACAGATGCCCGCCTCGGCCGAGAGGTGCGGGCGCCGCGGGCCGACCGCTCACGGGGGCGGGGCTCCGAAGGGAGGGGCCCCGGGAGAAGGCTCGGCCCCGCGTCGTGAGAAGGGAAAGGAGAAGAGGAACAAGAAACAATAAGAAGAAGATGAAGAAGAGAAATAAGAAGAAGAAGAAGAAGAAAAACTTATGAAAATGGATGAAGACGTACTTATGAAGAAGAAAAGAAATATAAGAAAAAGAATAAGAAGCATCAGAAGAAGAAGAAAAAGAAGAAGAAAAATAAATAAATAAAAAAAAAAAAAAAAAAAAAAAAAAAACACGCCATGCACATCATGGGCGCATTGGCAAATGTGAAGCGGCCGTCGGTAGCGCACCTCCAACCGCACAGCCGTGAAGCAGAACGCCCCGCAGAGAGACTGCTGCCCGTGCCCTGCATCAAAACGCGCAAGGCTGGCGGTCCGCCCGCCGCCCGGCATACC